TATTTTGATGATTTTAGCGCCATTTTTTAATTTCGTATTTAAAGTTCGTAATGGGTACTTCATCCTATGACAAAATATTGTGTATGCAGCAGGTCCACATCTTCGTATAGCTGTACAGGGTTAAATTAAAAAAAGTGTAACAAAATCAAACACCATAATTTTTACATTTTTTTTTTTTTTTTAATTTTATTGAATGAAAGCAAAAACTGTGGGAAATAGCATAAAATTTTAGAATAAGTTTAGATTTGTTCGAATTGGTCACCTTTGGCATGAATTATGGCCTTCAAACGACCAATGAAATCGTCACACGCTACCCGAATGTTCCTCTGCGGTATTTTGGCCCATTTCCGGCGAAGCGCTTGCTTGAAGTGATCGACACTTTGGTACTTTTTAGTGCCAACCTTGCTTTCCAAAATACTCCAGACACAATACCAATCCGTTGTACACATTGTACCCATTCTTGGGTGGCAATCAAACATCATTTTGTTTGTTTACAAACTGCTGGACAACGAATATTTTCTCATCGGAGAAACCCAAATTCGGCAGTTCACCACTTTCGACCAAGCGAAGCAACTCTTTAGCTCTTTTGAGTCTATTTTCGTTCTGTTTCGGTGTAAGTTCTTGGACTTTTTGGAATTTCAATGGCATGGAATATTGCGATATGTTTAGCTCACGAGCCATTTTCGGACACTGCGAGACGAGTTTCGATCAAGTCGCTTCTTTACTTTTCGAACCATATCTGCTGATGTTTCTGTTTTCTTCCGTCCACTTCCTTGACGTCGGGTTACACTACCAGTATCACGGAAACGAGCGATGGTACGAGACACAAAAGATTTATTCACATTTAAATGCTGGATTGCTCTATTGGTTTTCCAGCCAAATATAAAGAAATCACACTATCACGCTTGAATTCCATCACGAATAACTTTTTTTCTGGAAAATTCTCACCAAAATGCTTTTGTACGCTTGTAAAAAATATAATGAGCTGTCACTGGAATAATTTTAACAGCTGTCGGACGAGTGGCTTAGAAATGACAGAAGTCTGAAGTTGGTTGCAGTTTTTTTCATCTGTATATTTTTTTCATCACACTGTATATTTATTTAAATATGTTTGATAATTTGGTTCATTCGAAAGACCCCAATACAATCGCACTAGCGTCGGCGAGAATCACCAATCAGCTTCATATTTAAAATAAACTAGGCATTTATGTCCTTAATCTTAAAATATTCGCGTTTTTATAATAGTTTAAATATCGGAAATCTGACCAGGAAGTTTGAAAAGTAAATGAAATTAAATCACCCGATGGCTAATTTTGATGAATATAAATTATTAAGATCGTACACAATCATATTCCCTGCCTTACCTCCTGGTAAAAACATAATCTTTCTCCACTAATAAATAAACTTTGTTTTTATGAAAGCTCTACTAATTTGCAACAGCAAAATAACTAAGGTATCCCGAACAAAAAATTTCAACACTTTCAAAATTTAAATGGTGTAGCATTTTCAGGGACGTACGCATGGTGTGGGCCCAGACAAAAATTCTACCTTTTTGTTATTGGAAAAGGTAATATTCTGTTAGTTGACCCCCGAAATGTCTTCAAAGAATTTCAGGCACATGTTTAATATTCGAATTGCACCAACGTGCGATAACTGTAAGTCACAAGATTGGTGTTCTCAAGAAATCCGAAAATCAAAGAATTTAAGTTTGGATTATTGACAGCGTTTGCCAGTTTTTGAATACATTTCTATGTCAGAACTGTATGGCTGTTGGCGACATGATGTATACTTTAAATTTGCGTACGAAACGAGATTTTAGAAATTTATTCAAAATAAGAAGCGTTCAACCCAAGAATCAGTGAGAATAGTCCCCTTGAAACGCAACAATTTTAAAAGGAATTGTCCTAAAATTCATACAGATTTCTATATAAAAACTTAATTAAGGCTAAAGAAGGATTTATACATACTCCCCCTATTTTCCATTGGGCATTGTAATGCACAATAATAGGAATGTTTAGCCTCCAAACTCAATGAGTGTCATCGTTATGATCATGAGTTATGCCATGCCGCAATAATGCAAATATACTCCAACAGAAACCACAACATAAAATGGTTTTGAAAGATATAATATGCCAAACCAAAAAAAAAAAAAACAACAACAACAACAAAACCTTTTCAAGAAGTCCATTGTCATCAGCAAAGAAAACACGAAGCATCTGCGGAAGTGTATTTTCTCCAACCCCTTTTTTTTGGCAACGACACCAGAGGTCCTTGGGATTCAAATTTATCCTCCATCCATTTATTCCATTACAGTCTATTGCAAAACCTGTCCGCAGGCAACAATTGTCATTTAAGTGTCCTTATGATGTTATGTTTATTTTGTTAGCTAGCGATTTCTTGGGGGCCATTGTATGGTTGTCGTTGTCGTTGTTTTTTCCGTGGAGTTTGCATTTTTCCGGGGGGTTGTTGATGTAAATTACCAAAACAACAAAAAAAAACCGAAACAAGTTACAACAAATCGGCACAAGGGCATTATGCAACCCTTTTGTTTTGAAAGTGCTACCCTTTTTCTTGATTTTTTATAAATTGCTTTTGTTCTTTTCGTTGTTGAATTTGGTGAAAGCGAGGAGTTTTTATCGTTAATTTAGTAAATTATTTTTATTTAAAGATTTAATCTCAAGGAAATTTTCTAAAAATAGGTACACCATTGAATCTTCCAAGCGTATGGAGATATTTCTACATTAAACAAGTTAAAGGGAATCAGTCAGCATTGCCGACAGCTGCATACTCTCAACCAATGTTCGGTTATTTAAATATATTTTGACTTGCGTTATGATTGTTCAAACTCTTGACTCTTCATAGGAGAGGTTCCCAAGGAATGGACCAATATTTTACATTTCGTATCTGACTTCAGTCTGATAAAAATATGAAAACCTACCAGATTAGGTTTTTATATCAACTATTTGCTTTACTTTATATGAGATATTTGATATTACGAAAAGTTCGCGTTTTATGAGAGTTATAATTATTAAAAAATGTTGTCCCGTTGTGGGGGAGGTACCAGAAAAAGTAGTCCGATATTGTCAATCTTCACAACACATCTTGTGTTTATAGAAGCATTGGGATGTGCCGAGTTTGGAAGTAATCGAATGTTCATTTCGCGTTTTATGTGCTTAATGGTTATTCCAAATTTTGACCCTTTATGGGGGAGTTACAAGAAGAATTGGTCCGTTCAATCCCTTCTTCATACCAGACCTTGTGTTACTCAAAATATTGAAATGTACGAAATTTGAAGATAATCGAATTCTTAGTTCAAATTTTGTAAACGTTAAAATTATTCTTGACCCTTTGTGGGGGAGGTACCAGAAGAAATAGTCCGATATATACCATCTTCACACCAGATCTTGCTTAAGTATAAATATTGGAATGTGTGAAATTTGAAAATAATCGGATGCTCATTTCGCGTTTTACGAGCTTTAGGGTTATTCTAAATTTTGTTGTGGGGGAGGTACCAGAAGGTGTAGTCCGAGATCTTCCATCTTCACACCAGATCGTTTGTTAACAAAAATATTGGGATATGTGAACTTTGAAGACAATCGGACTCGTATTTCACATTTTATAAGAGTTATAATTATTCGAAACGTTTACCTTTTGTAGTGGAGGTACTTGATGGAGTGGACCAATATTATCCATTCTAGCACCTGACCTGAAGCAAAATCGGATTATCGTTTCTCTTTCTGTTCAGAAAATATATTTTGTGAAAATTCCGACCTTTTGTGGGGGAGGTACCAGAAGGAGTGGGCCGATATTGCTCATCTCCGAACTCAAATGACATATACCCTCTGTAGCCATGTGACTGAGGGTATAAAAACAAGTAAAAAGCTGCTAAGTTCGGCCCGGCAGAATACACCATTTGGAAGGAGCTTGAAAAATTCCAAAACAATCCGTCCAAAAATACCGCTTAAATGAAAACAGTTGCATGGAATTTATCGAAGACTACTACCGAGTCAGAATTCCAAATAGGAAATTTGGAACATTTCCGGTGGATAATGTCGCTAAAATCATACAAGTACCAAATATAGGGAGGAACTGTTATATGAGGGCTCAACGAAGTTTGAACAATTTTTTGTGATAGGTTGTAGTGCTCATTAAGAAGTGCTCATCCAGATCGAAATTTTAAACGATTCCTACTAATAATGTCGCTAAACAATTCTCTTCCATGGGATAAAGTACTCAGAAGGAATATCTTGGCTACAATTATCAAAATATGGAATAACGGGAGTAGCCGTTATATGGGGAATATACTATATAGTGGACCTATATAGACAAATCTCCTTCAAGGTGTAATGTTCTCATTAGGAAATTTAGCTTCACTCGTCAAAATACCGAATATGGTATCCCCGATATTTGGTATTTTGATTTCATTATATGGGCATATATGATATAGTAGTCCTATATAGACAAATCTCTTCCAGGGTTAAGGTTAACACAAAGAACTGTTTGTGTAGAAGTTAGGACAATTCCATGAAAAATGTGGCTGAAATCATCAAAATGTCGAATATCGGGAGATACTGTTATATGGAGGATATACGATATCGTAGACCTATATAAACATTTCTCTTTCAGCGGGTGAAGTACCCACAAAGAACGCCTTGAGCAAAATGTTAGACAATTCCATTTAAAAATGTGGTTTAAATCATCAAAATACCGAATATCGGGGGGTACCGTTATATGGGGAATATAAGATATCGTGGGCTCATCTTCGAACTTGATCTGCCTGCAGATCTGTGGATGGAGATGACTAAATCGTCTTATAATTTTACGCTGATCAAGAATATATATTTTTTGTTTTATTCCAAATGTAAGTTTAATAAAATTGTCTTTTAATTAATTCGATGAGTTACAAACGGAATGACGAACTAAAAATACCCTCCATACTATGCATGCTGGAATAAATTGATATGGATATTTTAGAAACTACTGAATAAAACATACTAACATTTTGTTGATGATTCACAGAGGCTTTTCGTTTATTGAATTTGTACAATATAAATTAAGCATTTACTTCTTTTTGTTGTAATTTTTCTTTTTTGGTCCATCAATATTTTCAAACATTATCACCACATATGCGTATCAATCGTACGGTAAAAAAATGTTTTCCATAACTTAAAATTAATTTTAAAAAATTCAATACATTCATTTTTTTTTCTTTTAGTATAACAAATTTATTTTTATTTTTTCACTGTTGAATTCTTGCTTACATCCAATTGAAGATTCAATATAAGTGATATAGATTTTTGTTCTGTGTGTATGTGTGTGTTCACTGTATTATGCAATACATTAAGGAAGCTTAACAATTAAACGCATTCAGTTTATTTAACGAAACTAAGAAAAAAAAAAAAACAATTAAAACATAAATACTAATAATGTGCCATATTTATAGACAGTGGATCACATCGCAGTGCTTCCATGACTTCTAGCCTTTAAAAGGTTGAAATGTAAAAATTAAGTTAAAAATTCAATCTGGAAAAATGGAAAATTTCAATCATAATATTTGCTGGGTAATACAAATTGACATATACCATCTCATTTTTTTAATATAATACTTCAAAATATATATTTTTGGACTGATTTTACAGAGTTTTGGAAAATCAAATGTTCATGCTAACTAATTCTAACCAAATATCTCTATATCGGATCCAATTCACATAATTGTATTTCATTCTTAAAGTTTTGATCACATTATGACATGATTATGAATTACAACCCAGTTGAAATTGTGTTTTCTACAGAATATAATTTTTAGAAATTTCTTAAAGGCCAAAAAACACTATCACACACTCACCAGTAAAATCCATGGCTACAAAAACAAACTTAACTTTGAAAAAGATTGAAAGATACTTGGCTAGTTTCTGGTATTTAATTATCATATTCTTGATCGGAATAACTTCAAAATAAATATTCCAAAGAAAGGCCCTTGTAAACCATCATCCACATCCAATATGCCTGATGAGCCGGTTAAACAACGGCGAAGGCGTCGCATAGTGGTGAGTGTGTAATAGTATCTATCTGACTTTCCTCTTCACTGCAAATTTCAGATCATTAAACTCGTCCCGAAAGAGAAATAAACAAATAAAATAGATTGTATTTAGACAACCTGTGATCCACTGTATGTTGGTGCGTTTGCTAAAACCCTACTAAATAACAAAATATAAAATACTTTTAGCAAAGATTACAATACAAAAAATGGACAGCAGTGTACAGCTTATTCAATAATAAACAAAAATACATATGTTTGTGTGTGTGTGTTTAGAGTTCTGTAGCTATTTGTGTTTCGTTTAACATTAAATTATTCACTTTTTGTTTCAATTTGTTCTTCTATTTCTCTAGATATTTAATAATAAAGCTTAACAATATTTCTCCAGTTATTTTAATAAAAAACAAAAAACAAGGTCAAGTTGATCGCTGCTGGTTAAAAAAAAATAATAATAAACTACATCACTCTGCTCTGAATAAAGTTTTTAGCATCAGTTTTGGATAGCCCCTTAAAATTTTTATATACATACTATTTAATTTGCTTCTCAATTTTGTAACTAACAAAAAAATTTAAATTTCTCGAATTTCTGGAATCTCTTAGAAAACAATTTACATTGTTTCTGAGTAAATACGTGGGCCAAATTCACTCATTCGATATGGAAAAAAATCTCGATCTTACTGGAAATATTCAGTAGAAACGACTATCGGTATTATGAATGCTAGAGTTCTACCACCATTTTCATTTATTATCAAAGAAGTAAGCAAAGGCTATAGTCGTGCTGGGCCAACCATGCCCTACAACACTAGAATATATTGGAAAACCTCCTCAGGTCCAAACCAGAGTTTATTGAGATAATATGCTAGACAGTCCTGCACAAACGTTACCCTTGACAGGAGCATTTGCCCGATATTTCCCTCTCTCTGTCGTGCTGACTGGTATTCAAAAAAAGTTTCACATTAAGAAATACAATTTCCCAAATGCTAGACTTCTGCCCTGTCCTTAACTCTCTCCTCATGCAAAATTCTGGTTTGATTGGTGTTTGTGACCCATAGAGCAACTGTAAAATAAAGAAAATTTAAAGCAATAGGCCTCTATTCTGACACTAACTCTAAAATTTTGACAAAAAAATCACTTTTTTATTGGCATATTTTTGTGCGATTTTCTTAGATTTTATCCTTTTCGGGCAAGAGGCAAATCCTAATTTGGTGAGAATTTTCAAAAACAATACAGCGGTTCTAGACTTATAAGCGGAATAAATAACATCAATTCCTTGTACATATACAGGGTGAGATGAAAAAACTGCAAACCAACTTCAGACTGCTGTCGTTTCTAAGCCACTAGTCCGACAGCTGTTAAAATTATTCCATTGAAATTCCAAAAAGTGCAAGAACTTACACCGCAACAGAAAGAAAATAGACTCAAAAGAGCTAAAGAGTTGCTTCGCTTGGCCGAAAGTGGTGAACTGCCGAATTTGGTTTTATTCGATGAGAAAACATTAGTTGTCCAGCAGTTTGTAAACAAACAAAATGATCGTGTTTACTTGCCAAAGAGGTCAGTTGAAAATGGGCACCTTCAGTTGACCATCAGAACTCAAGCGCCGGCCATGGTGACGCCGATGGTCGCTCTCTGCTTGTACTAATCGACCGTGACAACAGAATCAATCCTGAATATTATCGCGAAAATATTCTGGAGGGTGTATTAAAGCCTTGGGTACGCAAAGATTTTGGCCGCAGACCTTGGATATTCTAACAGGACTCACCACAATCGCACTCAGCAATGGTTACAAAATAAGGTTCCTCGCTTCATTTCCAGCGCACAATGGCCACCAAAAATCTCCGGATGCCAATCCGTTGGACTTTTGTGTCTGGAGTATTTTGGAAAGCAAGTTTAGCACTTGAAAATACCAAAGTGTCGATCACCTCAAGCCCGAGAATGGGTCAAAATACCGCAGAGCAACATTCGGGCAGCGTGTGACGGTTTAATTGGCCGTTTGAAGGCCATAATTCGTGCCAAAGGTGATCAATTCGAACAAATCTTAACTTATATTAAAGTTTCATTCTATTTCCGACATTTTTTTGCTTTCATTATGGCGTTTGACTTTGTTGCTGTTTTTTTATCTCACCCTGTACATAGATAGATCGACTCAGGTCGGCCATATATAGCTTCTTATGTCGGCGACCAATATTTTGAGGTGCTACATAATTTTAGGCCCAAGCAAACTTATAACACCCCCAATACATAGTATTGTAGGGTTGTATAGGATAGGAATTCTTTCGATATCGAATGCAGGAATTTGACCCCAGGATGATGTTATTCCAGAACAACTATTATTGAATTTCTTCTTCTTTTAGAGACTTCCTTCTTTTCCAATATGACTATATACATCATACATATTCGTTGCGGCTATGCGATTTTCACTTTCAAAATCTTATGGTATGAATTCAGTTTAGCTAATACTCATAATACCATAAAATGTTCTACCAAGTGATGTAGTGAGAAATATTTTATAAATAACGAGGCGTACACAAAAAATAAATGCTAGCGGTATATAGTAAACAATATTTACGTATTATTAAATAAATATATATGTAATGCATGTAGAAATTAAGTAATGTGTAATTGACTTCAACAATGCTGCAGCAGTAAAATGCAGTAGGTATGTTGGACTTTTCAAAATCTACTGATTATCTCAACTCAATAGAAGTAGATTACGAGTCTCAATTTTATTGCGCTAATTAATTAACTAAACAATTAATTACTTAATTAATCAATATTTCCACATTAATGAAGTCAACCAAACATTACTTCTTTCACGCTTACATTCAAAAGTGTTGTGGGTATTTTTATGTGTAAATTGATCACTTCGTTTTCTTTTATTAGATGTAAATTAAGGAATTAACAAAGGATAGCAACAACTTATTGCTTATCAACATTGTTGTTGCTGTTGTCATTGTAATCGTATAAATTACACATCAATACAAAATATACATATATATAAGAATAAATTAGTAAAAATAGTGGTGCTACAAAATTTAAGCGAAATCAGTCTAAAATGTAGATATTTGCAAGCAGAAAATATAAATACAAATTGTATTGTAGTCAAAATTTAAAAAAGTGGCATTATACGAGGATATTTTCCACTGGCTATGACAGAGCTTGGTGTAAATATTCGGTTTGGCTTCCATTACGTATTTTATTAGAAAAATCAGTTTAGACATTATGTTGTGTTCCTCAAAATTACAAAAATCACTCACATAGCGAGGATGGAAAGCCTACTCAGTTATATAAAAAGTTTACCAAGAAATGGGCATATATCGCTAATTCTTAAGGAGTATCGTTGCCTCTAAAAAAATAATAGCTATATCGATTGCAAGGGCAATCGTACATAGCCCTTCATTTTTTTGTTGTTATTGTATAAGTGTAAAAATGCGCACTGATTCAATTTACAACCTAAGCATTGGTCTGAACACATACCCACATTAGGCTTGTAAACTGAGTTAAATGAAATGGTCCCGCACCTAATAAGATGTTTACCCAATTAGAATTTTTTTTTCAAATCATGGTCCCGTGCTCGAAATCTGGACGAACCTTTCGTTGAGACGTCTGAAGTGTCCCATAGGCTTCCAAAAGATAAAAAATGCCAGGAAGTTACTATAATTGCCCCTGCGATATAGCCTTGAAGTCCTGTCTAAGGTTACAATTTTCACATTCCCAGTGCCTTTAGAATCTTAATGTCTTTAAAAAAATCCTGTACGGATTTGAAAATCTAATAAGATTTTTAACCCATTGGAATTTTTTTTCAAACCTTGGTCCCGTGCGTCTGAAGTTTCCCATATGGGTCCAAAAGTTCAAAAATGTAAAGAAGTTATTCTAATTGATACTTGCGATATAGACTTGAAGTCCTGTCTAAGATTACAATTTTCACATTTTTTTAGAATCTAAATATCTTTAAAAGTAACTGTAGGGATTTGAGAATCTAATAAAATTTTTACCCCATTAGAATCGATCAAATCAAAAATGTATGGAAGTTATTATAATTGCCACCTGCGATATAGTCTTGAAGTCCTGCCTAAGGTTACAATCTTCAACTTTCCAGTGCTTTTAGAATCTAAATGTCTTTAAAAATAACTGTACGGATTTGAGAACCTAATAGGATTTTTACCCCATTGGAATTTTTTTCAAACCTTGGTCCCGTGCTCGAAATCTGTATGAAGAAGTGTCCCACATGGGTCCAAAAGCTGCGATATGGACTTGAAACCTGTCTAATGTTACAATTTTCAAATTTTTAGTGCTTTCAGAATCTTAATGCCTTTAGAAATAACCGTACGGATTTAAAAACCTAATGGAATTTTTACCCCATTGGAAACTTTTTTCAAACCCACCAACTAAAGGTATTATGTGGGAAGGACAACTGCATATTTAATTTTTCAATATTTTTTATTTCCAAACCATCATTCTAAGAATTCCATTTCAAGAAAAACTATAAAGAACGTCAATTATTTCCATGGCGTCGATTGATATAGGGAAGCTATAAAAACCAAAACTTTTTAAAAAATAGGTTTAGCTTATTAGGCGTTACAGATACGGGGAAGTATTAAAATTTCTTCTCCCAGCATAGGTCGATTAAATAATTGAAATACCCTCATAATCTCAAAATTATTGTTAACATTTCATATGTTAAATTCACAATTGATTGCGTTTTGATAATACGGAGCAAATCAGCTGATCTTAACGGATAACCTTTTAAATAAACCTTGGACCCACTAATGCATTAAAAATTTAAAAGGGACGGAGAAAATAAAATAGTAAAATTAGGGTTTTAGCTGCATTCTCTCTATTTTACAATACTTTTTAGCAATATATTGTTATGATATCCATTGGAAAAACTTAAAAAAAGATTTCTGAATATTTTGCAAATTTTTTTTTTTTGTGTATATTCTTTTAAAAATAATTAATATAATTATATCTTAATAAATACAATGTTCAATACATTAATAGTCCATTGTTTCCAAAACAAATGTGTATGCCTCAACTCTAAATGCTTAGAATGGTCTATACTCTATACGACGTGTTTAATCAAGAAAAACAAAGTAGTTTTTAATATAAATTATTTCTTTTTTGGAGACTTTAATAATACGCCACTTAAAAAACTATCTACATTTTAGACTGGATCACTTTAGAACGACTTTTGTAGCACCGCTTTGTGTTGTAATCCAAATTCGACTTAAAAACTAAACAAATGGACAAATATTTCATTAGTTGAGTTAAGTGTATTTTGTTTTTCATTTGTAAACTTTGCAATTTGACTCGAATAAAGATACTTGGTTTCTGTTCTTAAATTAGTACTGCGGTACTTAGTGTACCAACTATATATAATGCTAAAATATATATATGTAAGAAGATCTTTAATAAAATTTCTGTTTGGTTTTATTGTGATAGAACGTTTTCTTTTTTTTCTGTAATGTACTTTTTGCTTATTGTTTGTTTGTTTCGTATTATTTTTCTTTGTTTTGATTTGAAGCAGAGCTTTTGTAAAGTGTTTCAAGTTTGTTTCAATTAAAGTAAAGTTTGTAACAATTTTTGGTTTTCTTTGTAGTTTTTTGTTCATTTTTTTGTGTTCTTTAGACCAAAATGGAGCGTGTAAAGTTTGAATTTATCGAAAGAGATAGAATAGTTGATAGCCCTATTGAATAAAAGTAGTTTTGTGTGTGTTCGCAGGAATTATTCAATATCTAACTCAATACTCTATGGGATTAGGATCTATAGGTTTGCGGGAATATTTCAAACCCAAGTTATCGCTAATTTCATCGATAACGTCCAGAGCGTAGTCCAATTGTTCTTTGGTATGTGCCGCCGACAGACAATAACGTATGCGACCCTCCATAATGGGTGTGGCAGGAAAACCGACGCCAACAACAGCAATATTGCGGGTAGTTAAGGTACGTACAACAGCTCTGTAAAATAGTTAATACATTTTTGTTAATAATTTGATCAATTACTTTTCGATATTAGAGTTATTGTTCTTTACATAAATATATCCTTGTTAGTGAAACATCTATAAAAATGGAAATAGATTGAATAGTTAAATCAATGGCTCGTGTTAAGCCATCTAGGATTCGTAAATATTTCAATGGGTTTTGAATCGTCTGATTTAGACCCATGTTTACAGATTTTCTTGGTGTTGGAAAATTGGTTGATATTTTATTTATTCTAAAGTATAAAAATAAAATTGATAGAATTGAAATTAATGAATTTATTATAGCATTCGCCGATTTCACCTAATGGCAAGGTTTATCATTAGTTTTTTTTTCAATGATTTATTACCAGCAAGTAATGTTTTGGTATGTTTTAATTATCGTTTAACCAATGTTGACAGATGGGTTTTTTTATATGAAGTGGATGGAAAGATAATAAGTGCATTTATTTTTATTTTTTTAATATTTTGTTATGTGATTATCACTGTGAAACAATTGTGGGGTCCTGGTAGTGAGTTATCAAATCCACTTCAGCAAGTAGAACAAAATTAAAAAAAGAGTTTTAGTTTTCCAAACTAACCAAAGGAAAGTTAGTTTATATAAAAAAAAAAATAGCTCAATTCTAGATTCTAAGATATTCGAAATGGGTCATAATTCACTCTTAGCCTCATTCTTGAGTTTTTATCTTTCTTCCCAAACGATTTTGATTTTTGAGTTGTCAGCTAGTAGAACAACTACTTGAAAAAAATAGTTCGGAACTCTTTGGGTCCTAAGGGACCGGATATGGTATTCTTCCTTTTCTCATACTTTAACATATCAAAAAACGGCAACCAACTTCAGACTGCTTTCTTTTGTAAGCCACTCGTCCGACAGCTGTTAAAATTATTCCAGTGACAGCTCATTATATTGTTTGCAAGCGAACAAAAGCATTTTGGAGAGAATTTTTCAGAAAAAAGTAATTCGTGATGGAATACAAGCGTGATAGAGTGATTTCTTTATATTTGGGTGGAAAACCACAAGTGGCTATTGTTAGAGCTCTCCAGCATTTAAATGTGAATAAATCGTTTGTGTCTCGTACCATCGCTCGTTACCGTGATAGGGGTAGCCTAGCCCAACGTCAAGGAAGTGGACGGAAGAAAACAGCAACATCACCAGAAATGGTTCGAAAAATAAAAAAGTGACTTGATCGAAACCCGCGTCGCAGTGGCCGCAAAATGGCTCGTGAACTGAACACATCACAATATTCTATTCGGCAAATATTGAAAAATGAGCTCGGGGTAAAGCCATTGAAATTCCAAAAAGTGCAAGAACTTACACCGATTCGCTTGGCCGAAAGTGGTGAACTGCCGAATTTGGTTTTCTCTGATGAGAAAACATTCTTTGTCCAGCAGTTTGTAAACAAACAAAATGATCATGTTTACTTGCCAAAGAGATCAGCTGAAAATGTGCACTTTCAGTTGGCTACCAGAACTCAAGCGCCGGCTATGGTGATGGTGTGGGCCGCCATAACAGCCGATTGTCGATCTCCGCTCGTATTAATCGACCGTAACACCAGAACAAATGCCGAATATTATCGCGAAAATATTCTGGAGGATGTATTAAAGCCTTGGGCACGCAGACATTTTGGCCGCAGACCATGGACATTCCAACAGGACTCAGCATGCGCCACCCAAGAGTGGTTACACAATGAGGTTCCTCGCTTCATTTTCAGCGCACAATGGCCACCACAATCTCCGGGTACCAATCCGTTGGCCTATTGTGTCTGTAGTATTTTGGAAAGCAAGGTTGGCACTAAAAAATACGAAAGTGTCGATCACCACAAGCAAGCGCTTCGCCGGGAATGGGCCAAAATATCGTTTGAAAGCCATAATTTGTGCCAAAGTTGACTTTATTGCAGTTTTTTATCTCACCCTGTATTTCTTGAACACCTAGGAAATCATACTCAAAGTAGGTTTGCTAAGATAAGCTATAAACACAGACATTTTTCCCAAGTTTGCAAAACAAACTTTGGGAAATTAGTAGAAATTTTTACAAGTCCTATCATTGATGACATATGTTGCAGGTTGACTCAAGAACCTGCCACCTTCTTCCATGTGGGGAATATGAAGATATACACCACATACGGCACCTAATTCCGAAAACAAACTACCCTAAGATCCTTGGCGTCACATTCCACCGCATGTTCAAGTTGTCCGTGCAAGCCACAGCAATCTGCCATGAATTGAAAAGTAGGAACAAGGTCCTCAAAGCACTAGCCGGCAACACTTTGAGAAAGACCAAGAGTCAGTCTGTGCTTACTATGCGGCTGTAGTATGGGTTGCGAATTCGAGTGTAACGCATTGGAAAATATTCAGACCTGCTAGAATGCCCCATGCCTTCTCATGGATCCATTGGACCATTTACATGAGGAGACGAAGATTCTTCCCTTACATCAACATAATCATATGTTTTCGTTGGGTGTAATGGTATGAGTCATCCTAACCAATATACCATGGACGGAACTCCCCACCATAGGCTGTCAGGAAAGACCTGCATGATCCAGAGAGAAGTTCAACAAGAGAATAATTCGAAATACAAAAGGAATTATTCGAATTTCAATTGGAATAATCGAATTACAATCGGAATTCTCAAGCTACAACTGAAACCATTCGAATTGCAAATGAAAGTGTCGAATTACAAATTAGTTAAGAATTACATCAAAAATTATTTGAATTTCAGCGGTAAAAGGTATAGAGCAGGAAGCCTTTCAGGCTGATCTTGATAGCATTCATTCTGATGCAGTCGCCAATGTACACCCTCATCCATTGCAACTGAATTTATGGGATTCAGCTTTTCTTGGACTTGGTTATAATTAGCGACGTAGTCAAGGTGTAGTCCTGGTGCCCGGAGTAGCCACATACAATTGTATACTTGACATTAAAAAGACCCACTTTTCTACTTCGACCCCCGGAATAGGTTCAAAGAGGAATTTCTGTCCCTGCTAATAGCATTAATATTGTCTTTCACCACATTAGGTTTATTTCCTTCCCTTATACCTACCCAATTTTGGAGAAAAGATACACCAACATAGGCACAACTGGTGAATCTTCATGGCCATAAGTGATGACACCCATTTGGGCCAAACGTCTGCGGAAATAGCGGGTGTTGCGAGCCAATTGATTGATTTTCCGCCGACCGAGATCACTGCCATCAACACCCATGATAATACTCATTGAAGTGTAAATTTGCTGGGCCACTGGCGGAGACATTGTGGCTGCATAACAATGGGCATGACTGTTTGTGCGTAAGAAGTCCACCAATTTCTGAAAATTAAAAAAACAATAGTTTCTTTCTTCTATAAATGATAAGAAATTTATCCTACCTTTGATCCTGCAATATAGCCACCAGCACTACCAAAACTCTTTGTAAATGTACCCATTAGAATATCCACATCTTTGGGATCACAATTGAAATAATCCACAACGCCGCCACCGTTGGGTCCCAAGGCACCAATACTGTGAGCCTCATCCAAATACAAATAGGCCTTGTATTTCTTTTTCAAGGCAATAATTTCGGGCAGGCGGCAAATACTGCCCTCCATACTGTAGACACCCTCACAAATTATGAGGATTTTCTTCCATGGTTTGCCGCCATTCTTGGGATTACCATAGACTACGCTCTGTCTCAAAACACGTTCCAAATCTTTCATGTTGTTGTGTTTGAACACCTTGGTGGTGGCGCCGGACAAACGTAAACCCAAAATGATAGAAGCATGATTCTTTTCATCACTCAATACCAGACAACCGGGTGACAGCAAAGAGGGTAAATTCAAAGCATTTGTGGCAAAACCCATGCCAAACACAATGGCATCCTCAACGCCCAAGTAACGGGCTGTCAACTTTTCCAAATCCAAATGCAACTGGGTGGTGCCCAATTCTACACGTGGACTACACAGGGCCAAACCCCATTCTCGGCATGTTTTCTCCGAATCATCGGCACAGGGACCCGTGGCTGCAGCAAATCCCAAATAGTTGTATGATCCGAGATTGAGACACGTCGTCTCGGTGCCGGTGAATTCAAATGACCAACCATAATCGGGTGTGACACGATCTTTCAGGGTCAATTCGGCCCCAGGCACACTACATATGGGACGATTCCAACAATCTCGTATTCTTCGATACACATAACGAGAATAGAAACTTTCAAAGGCATCATAAAGGCTAACATAGCCGTCACGATTTTTCTCCTTGGCCACTTTCGGGACAAACAGCAACTGATTCAAATAGCCCAATATCATGAGCAAATAGAATCCTAAATATGTAAGGCAGGCTGTGCGTAGGGGAACTTCCTCGAATGAGGTTTTTTGGTAATGTTCTTCGGCTGGGGGCAGGATGCCATCGGCAGCTGATGGCTTTGATTTGACACCATATTCTGTGCTGGAATTTGTTGCTGAATTGTAAAATCCATTTGTGGTTTTCTGTAAAAGAAAGGAAAGGATGTTAAAAGTAGGAATAAATAAAAAGAAATTGAGATATGCGATTATTACTCTTTTCATTTGAGGCAAATTCTTTCGTGGAAGGTAAAGGGGAGTATTTTTTTATTTAGCTATCAAATTCCACAAAAAGCGACAACAATTACGTTATAGGGGTTTATTTTCAATTCTTATCTTTCGATATAAAAAATAATACCCCCAAAAGCAAAACAAAACTAAAAAAAACAGTATGACAACAATGCATTTAAGCGATTACATGAGCGAGTCCAGGTAAATAATGATTCAAAATTTTGTTGTTTTTCTAATTTGTGAATATGTAGGTACTACTTCACCCCACAACGTGTTATGAATGTACAAAATCATTTTTCGGTATCTAACAACAAAAATGTGAAATAATAACAACAAATCCATGTGAGGCGTTATAATAACAAAAACAACCACAAAAAAAATATTATCGTCGTTATCATTATTGTACACTGAAACTGGCGCTCGTGGAGTGACTGTTTTAGTCCATTTATATATTCTCTCGTACATAATACGTATGTGTGTAGACGTAACGAAATCCAAAAACACGCCACAACTTCGAACGAAAATATTTAATTTAGATACGATTAAAATTTGTGCATCATCATAGGCGTAAAAGTCTATATGCCGCCACAGACAGGTGTTATCAACAGTTTGTGCAATATAACGTTTGTTTGAATCATTTTATGATCTGGTCTAGAGATTAGCCTAGCGGAGGTGGTGAGAGTTCTGATTCACTTGTCTGATGTTTATTACATCATAGAGGAACTGCTCGCCAGCAATTTAATTTTGACGTGTCATCTTAACTTTGTATTATTTTAATTTCTTAGTTGCTCTAGGGAAGATGGGGAAATTTGCACCATTTATCACGAATGCCTTTTTATGGTTTGAAAATGTTAAATATTTTAATTGTTCCCAGCTGAATTGTTAAACAACAGAATTTTCATTTGGGCTGTGTACTTTGCACATACAACTAAAATTAGCGAAAAAGCTAGCTCATGGAATTTGGTGAAATTTATAGTAGTTCCATAGATATGTTTTAAAGGATTTAATATATAATTAACCCAACACGCCAAAACAATGATATCGGGTACACCCTATAAATATCTTGACAAAATTTTTTGTCAATATCGTTTCAGATTTAGATATAGCTTCCATATATATTTCCCTCCAAGTTGGTTTGGTTTAAGGATGCGCATCTACAAGAGAGTCGGCAACTGCTTCAGTCGCAGATATTTGGTCCATTTTGTTAATTCTAAGAAGAATACAGGGTGAGATAAACTGCAACCGACTTCAGACTGCTGTCAGTTCCAGTGCCAGCTCATTTTATTGTTTACAAGCGCACAAAAGCATTTTGGTGAGAATTTTCCAGAAAAAAGTTATTCGTGACGGAATTCAAGCGTGGTCCTGTGATTTCTTTATATTTGGCTGGAAAACCACAAGTGGCTATCGTTAGAGCACTCCAGCATTTAAATGTGAATAAATCTTATGTGTCTCGTACCATCGCTCGTTACCGTGATACTGGTAGCGCTGGAAGTGGACGGAAGAAAACATCAACATCAGAAAAAATGGTTCGAAAAGTAAAGAAGCGACTTGATCGAAAACCGCGTCGCAGTGGCCGAAAAATGGCTGGTGAGCTGAACATATCGCAATATTCCATTCGGCAAATATTGAAAAATGACCTCGGGGTAAAGTCATTGAAATACCAAAGAGTGCAAGAACTTACACCGCAAAGAGTTGCTTCGCTTGGCCGAAAGTAGTGAACTGCCGAATTAGGGTTTCTCCGATGAGAAAACATTCGCTGTCCAGTAGTTTGTAAACAATCAAAATGATGGTGTTTACTCGACAAAGAGGTCTGCTGAAATGTGCACCTTCGGTTGGCCACCTGAACTCAAGCGCCGGCCGTGGTGATGTTGTTGGCCGCCATAACAGCCGATGATAGCTCTGCCCTCGTATTAATTGACCGTGGCATCAAAATAAATGCCGAATATTATTGCAAAAATATTCTGGAGGGTTTATTGAAGCCTTGAAACCACGTTAACATTTTGACCGCATACCTTGGACATTCCAACAGGACTCAGCACCATTGCACTCAGCACGCGCCACCCAAGAATAGTTACCAAATGAAGTTCCTCACTTCATTTCCAGCGCACAATGGCCACTAAAATCTCCGGATATCAATCCTTTGGACTATAGTGTTTGAAGTATTTTGAAAAGCAAGATTGGCACTAAAAAATACCAAAGTGTCGATCACCTCAAGCAAGCGCTTCGCCGGGAATGGGCCAAAATACCGCAGAGCAACATTCGAGCAGCCCAATGAACTGTCACACGCTTTGATGGCCGTAATTCCTGCCAAAGGTGATCAATTCCAACAAATCTAAACTTTTTCTAAAATTTGATGATATTTCCGACTTTTTTTACTTTAATTTAATAAAATTTAAAAAAATGTAAAAATTATTGCGTTTGCCTTTGTTGCAGTTTTTTTTGTCTCACCCTGTATTTTTTCACTGGTTCTTACCATATAAGTTACAAATTTATAGTAAATGGTATGTCAATGGATCAATATTTTCGAATTTGTTTAACCAATTTAACAATTGGAATAGAGCAAACGTAAACAAATGGTATCAGAGATCTTTTAAATTCATTAGCATGTGTATGTTAATGGCACAATAGTTTTTTGTTTGTGGAATACTTTACAACAAATAAAGGTACTTCAAAAACCAATAACAACAACAAATCCCAGCATACCACGGGAAAAAATCAAACACAAAACATCACACGTTTTATGTTTATTTGAAAAGTAATATGGTGGCTACAATGCATTTCTCTGAATAGAAATTATAGTTAAATGCCTCACTGGATGTAGGCACCAAATGAGCGAACGAAAGATCGAATTAATTGATGTATGACCACACAGTTCACAACACACAACTCGCCAATGTGTTAGAATTGTTTCTTAATAGATATCTATGGAAGCCAATAGAGCAGCAGTTAAAAGTTGATCAAATATTTCAAATCAAATCATAGAAACAATTTGACCTATGACACACAACAATTGCAAAGCAAACAATGTTAGGAATCTTCACAATTTCGTAGTAACAATTTATGTGAATGTGATATGTTTCGATTATTACTAATATTCTGAGTTGCCTATGTAAACATGCACGCCTCCATGTTTTTGTTCTAAACGAAAGACCGCAGCTAATCAAGAATAAACAAAGGTGCAAAGTCCAAACTTTTAATTTTTTCGGAAATATAATGACAAGACAAGTTTATGTGACATCGGTTTCATAATTTTTGGTTAATTTGAAAAAAAATGTGGTTCTTTAGATAGTAGGTTTAAAATGAAAATAATGCATAACGATAAAGTTATGCAAAACAGAATTTTTAAATTTTCGTTATCTCAAAATGCAATCCGAAAAATGCAAAAAGTGAATATGAGTTGTTTTGAAACTAACTGACTTAGGAATGATCGATTGTGTGTTCCTAAAAATTAAATTTCCAATTCTTGGAATTCTTTTTTTTTATTTAAATACCAACTTTGATTGAAAATTAATTAATTATGCAAACACTCCTCAGTCCCCAAAGGAAAATTAATCCATTCTTAATATTATTTTTTGTATCCCAAGCCACTACCCCATAAGAGAACAAAAGCACTTTGGACTTCTCCCGTTTGAAATGTCTCTGAACTGAGACAAAACCCTTCTAATTTTATTTCAAATACCTACCAACTTGTTTTACTAACGAAAATTCCAACAACTTGAACGTGTTCATATTTAGTTTTCGTATATCACACTATCGTTAAGATTAGATAAGCATTTCGAAGATCTATCTGCTTTTTTATGGTATGACAAATACTAATGGATTTCGTAAAAAAGTGCTTTTGGCGCATTAAAAAGAAGACAGCAGAAGGGCACCTATGCAGATTGTCAATGTTCCGTATGGGACTATCTAACTGTATAATTTTATGACTCATAAAAGAATTATTCGATGATGATTCACACCGATTCCTTTGATCTATATATTTTCCATTACTGATAATGAGGTACGATCGAACATTTTAGTAATGCAAGTAATGGTCATGAAGGCATTCAAAATAAATAAATAAAAAATAACAAATAAATTTCGAAAGAAACATGACAAAAAATAACTTAAATCGGGGGTACTGTTATATCAGGCCTATTCCCAAAAGAAAATTCCGTTTACAAATTTGGTCAAATACCTTAAATCTGCGGGTCTTTACTGCGGGTCTGGCACTAAAAAATACCAAAGTGTCGATCACCTCAAGCAAGCGCTTCGTCGGGAATGGACCAAAATACCGCAGAGCAACATTCTTGCAGCGTGTGAGGTTTCATTGGCCGTTTGTAGACCATAATTCGTTCCAATTTGAACGAATCTAAACTTATTCTAAAATTTGATGCTATTTCCGACATTTTTTGCTATCATTCATTAAAATTAAAAAAAAAGTAAAAATTATGGCGTTTGACTTCGTTGTATTTTTTCGTCTCACTCTAAATTGGTTAAGTTTGTTTTACAAACACTGGAAATACACTGAGAGGACTTTAGAGATTCAAAATTCAGAAATACGGATTTAATATTAAATTAATATACCTTTTGTTCAAAATGCTAAATCCTTATAAAAATTGGCTATTATGTTCCTCCTTAGCAAGGCTTGAATCATCATGTTGGTATAAGGACCTTTAAAATAAGGCTACCCACTTACAAATAAATAGTTACATTTTTAATAGACACAACAAGCAAATTTCAAATAATTAAACATGCACTCATTCCCAACAATCCCTTAAAGTTCTTGTAATTAACAATTTAGCCTCGTCGCATATGCTGATCATATGGAAAAATTACCTCCCTCATGTGATAAGATAGTGGACTGGCATTTATATTGATTACTGTCATAAAATGAATTATCAGGTTTTACAAGAACGACCGGCAAGTAGTGGAACACCTGCATGTGAATGGGAAAATAAATGAAAAATAAATACCTACAAATAATTTCTTGGGGCAATTAATGTCCTCTTTTTACATGAAAAATCGATGTCAGTATGTAAACAGTACAACAATATATGTGTTGTTAACAACCTTTTGACCATATTTACTCGACCAACAGAGAAAGCCAAGCTGCCGTTAGAAATAAACTCTCCGTGGTCAATTTACTCCTAATTACTCTCTTTGCGCCCTAATTTGTGCGACAATAAAATAAGGGGTGCGAGAGTTGTGGAACAACAGAAAATGTCAAAATACAAGCAGTGAAAACGGAACTACAAATGTTTGGGGGAATATCAACCGGGAAGTGTAGTTCCGTCAATGCAATTCAATATTCATTTCATGTTTGCTTCCTTGCCCACCAACAAAATCATACACACAATGTCCACGCATACACACACACGCACGCACGCCAGCAATCATAAACAAAATTCCAATTAGATTTTTGGCATTTAACACAAGCCACGAGCACGCCCTAAAGCAGTCAGCGCCAGCAACAGCAGTGACGACAGAGGAACGTAACCGCAAAAAAAAAACTCCAACATACAGTTGCCAGACCACAATTCTATTTTCAAAATATTGTATTATTCTCACTTTGTCTTTTTACCCCTTTCACGAAATGTTCAAGATTATGGAATAACTTTTCACCAATTATCATGGGCTCCATAAAATTACTCACAGATATTTGATTATAAATCGATTTAATTTCGGCACAACACAAACATCTGATCTGGCAATAATAAAAATACAATCACACCACTACTACCATGACCGCTAACTGCGGCAGCAGCACCAATTATTAATTTAATGATTTTTTGTTCTTTTCTAAATTAAGATCATAGAAATTTTATGGTCAATGCATTGCATATATCACAACTTGCTTCGAGTATTGTCTTAATTCAATATTTCGCACTCGGATCTCACACACACTTGCATTATTAACTGCACCTCTTAAGATTCTTAATTCACATTTCCTTTTTTCATCCATCATCATCATCGTTTTATTACCTTGAAACCATTGCTCATGGTGTTAGCCTTGAGACCATTTTTTCGCGTACGAATCTCTCGATAGGCCGGAGTATTATATTTCTTCAGATGCATTTCTTCCTGCTCCTGGTCATATTTACTTTGCAGGTGATTTGCCTCTGTTGACATTATGGTATCGTTTTCATTAAAATCACCACCATCTGGATTTCCCATTTTTGTGAGTTTTCCCTTAGACTTTTTGCTATGTTTCACACTTCACTATTGCCTCGGCTATTTTGTTTCAGTCGCTGTGCGGCCTGCCTTTGCGTAGTCTGGCACACTAGGGATACGTAAGTCGACTGTCGACAATTGAAACGGCCAAACTAAATTCGATTTTAACATAATCGATTTTCGCTGCCCAACCGTTAGTGTTGTGTAGATCGATTTGGCTATCAGAAGGGCTGATCAAACTTTATATCATGTTTCCATTGTAATATGCATTAAAATAAACTTACAAACTACTATTTTTTTAAATGTACTTTATTCAATAAATTGAATCCATTTCTTTTGAAAAACTTGAAATGTTCAAATTTCACAAATCTGAAACTGGTCAAAATTGTATTTATCGATACTTAAATTCAGAATATTAGGTTTTTTGGTTTCTTATAGCATGTTTCCATTGGAAACCGAACAACGTTGTTCTCTCTCAGAATTAAGTACACGAATTAACCCGTTCATACGGCACGATTCGTAATTCATAGTAAATTAATTCCTTTTTTTCAAAAATTTTGTTTGTTGATTTTAATGGAAATTTATACGAAAATACATGAAATTCTAACTAATATGATTTATTATATCCTTAATTTTACAATTTTAATTCACGTTTTGTGTAAATGTTGACATTTTGAACATATTTTTGTTTTTCCATTTTTAAATTCTGCTGGAGAGACACTTGTCAAACATTTTTTCTTTGAATGTACATACGCCATTCAACATTGTAGTTTTCATTCATAATTTTTAGTCTTCCCAAAAATTTTTAAATTTCATTAAATTTTTCTATTTTTATTTTTAAATGTCATAATTTATTTTTTCGATAAATGCTCTCAGTTGTTACTGATGGGACATATTTTTTCGTTGTTCTGAGAGTAATTTGATTTGAACAACCTACAAATATGAGTGTTCGCTCAGGAAATTTTGTGTGAAGAAACAACGAATAGAGAGCGAATCAAGTGCAGTGGAAACGCCACATTAGGAAATCCAAACTCATTGACAAAGGGGGACCTCGGATGAATAAAAAAGTCAGAATATTATACTAATAAACAATTAAATTTTTTTGCATTTTAATGAAAAAATATAAAGAATCTTTTTAAAAAATGATATTTGTTAGATATTTGTGAATCGAAAAACAAATAGAAAGCGAATCACGTATAATAACAGACCGAAGTTTAAATAGTGACTTCGATATGAAAATACATACATACATCTGTTTTTAATTGTCTTGAAGCAGCTCGCGTGAATATCGATGCTTTGCAATATTATTTCAGCGTAGACTCATTCCAAATAAGGGAACCAGGGGCTGGATTCTTGTTCTATGAAAATATGAAATGACAAATATTTACTTTATATATTTTTCATTTGACATTTCTTTCCTTTATAAAAGTTTTCATTTCACATTTTCATAGAACAAGAATTGAGGCCCATGGACCGGATATTTTATTTTATTATAATGATATATTTATTGCGCTGTTCAAGAACCTGCAAGAATCTACTAGTTTCGCAATTTTTTCCGATTTCATAAAGGGAAAGTCGGTTATCGTATTAAAAAATGTACATTCATGCAGTTCAGGAACAGACTATTAATCTTTCATAACCGTTTTCATTTAATTTTTTTTGTTGAACAAAAATTTTGCCCCATCTCTTAATTTTCTGTAGCATACAAAATTGCAATTTTTTATGTTTTTTTTAAATTTTTTAAAATGTTTTTTTAAGTTTATAGAATAATTTTGACGTTTAATGGTGTACACCTTTGTACCAACCATGGTAGAAGAATACAGGAAGTCGTATCGACACAGCTGCTGGGACAATGAACTGTCAAATCAATTTTGAAATTTAAAAATTTGATTGAAAAATTATTCAAATTTGTAAAAATAGTTGAAAAATACATACTATAAAAACTTTTTCCATGTCGTATAAGAAAATTTAAAAAATATAATTGTTTTTGAAAAAAAATATTGTTCGATGCAAAATTTAAACTAGAAACATTTCCGGCAATACTAATGCCCTGCAAAAGCTAATACGGTACAAATATTTTCCGTTAGTGTGTAGATTACACACGGAGTTTAAAATAATTGTTGAGTAAATGCGGATTAAGCAATAATCCTAAATAAATAAATTAGAACAAAGATGATTTATGACAGAAAACAAAGACTGGGCGCCATCTATTGTAAATATTTCTTGTCTCCTTAGTACGGAACGACTTTTATTTACATAGGCTTTCATGTCAAACAAACAGCTGTCGAACAATGCAAACCGGGAATATTAAAAATTTACGCCTGCATTATTTATTTGAAATTTTTAAAAATCTAATTAGAAAATAAAGACATTAAACGGAATTAATTGTGAGATGTTGTTATAAATTTAATTTACACACTCATTCATAAATTATTTGAAATTTCATTTAGATTTGTCATTCTCTGCTGAGTGAGAGAGCTTTCAAATAGAGAGCAAGAGAGGCATTGGAAAAAATACACACACACCAAACAAAAAAACGATTGACTGAATTGGATTCATTTGCAAAACTTAAGTGCAAGCATCATCATTCACTACGACGACGCAAGGGCGATTGCTGTTAATCAAACTGGAAAGGAGCAAAGGCATATCTATATTTTATAAATAATAAAAAAAGAACCAAGTGAACAGTATTAATTTGCGAGTGTTTGTTAATGAATTAAATAAACAGAAACTACTTTTACAAGAAAAGAAACAAAATCATTCAACGAAAAAAATTGTACGGTGAAAAAAGTCCTGAGAGCTTAGTGTCAAGTTGAAAAAAAAAAAAACTGAGAGAAGAGAGTAAAAGGCAAGCGAAGTGTCAAATGAAAATTTGAGTGAACAGTGTGATAAAAAGGAAAACATACGTCACTTTGAAACCCTGTTTAATTGACACGGGCAACCAACCAGCCACATACACAAAGTCCTTCCCATAAATCCTTGGTTCCTTCAAAACTAAAAACCCAAAAATGGATTTTAATTTTGGTGATTTGAAAAAGGAAACCAACTCTGCCGTTGAGAACATTTTTGACCGTGCTGACGATGCCAAGAAACACGCCCAGGATATGTTGGGCAGCATCGATGACGTTCTAGGAGGTGGTGGTGTTGAAAAAACTGACAATGTTAAATCGGACGGTGTGGTAGATCCCTTGGACCCCCAAGCTTTTGTACAACGTATGTCAGCCGGAGCCAAGGAGGCCCAAGAAGAACTGGATGCCAAATTCTCAAAGAACACCAATGATTTGGAAGATTTCCTAGGCCAGACCACAAACAGTGTAAAACAAGGTGTGGCTTCGTTGACCAATGATTTTATGAATGCCGAGCGAGGTTTTAAGGACAGTGCTGGAGATGCTGCCAAGGAAATCGAGAAGAAGGCCGCCCAGGCTGTGGATGATATATTTGGCCACTTTGGTGGCGGTGATAACAGCTTCAAGCCTACAGTCCCTGTTGAGGGTGTAGCCACAAGTGCAAATAACCAATTTACCGACTTTGACGACGATGATGATGAACCGGCTGCCATGACAACCTTTGGCAAAACAGCTGCAACAGGCATTGCGGCTAGCAACAAGGATTCTGACAATGATTCACCTTCCATTTCTTACAATCCATCTCCAGCCAAAAAGTTACCATCTGATGCCCTCAAGGAGCAAGACAATGAGAAGTTTATTTCGAGTGAAGATCTTTTGGGCGATTTCAAGGATGAACGCACCGCCACACCAGATTCTCAGGCTTCCGCCAATAACTATTCAGCACCATTGGCCAAATTGCAAGAACCCAAAACGACAGATTTGGATGCCGATGATTTTGATGATGACTTTGTTCAGGCTGAAATTCCTAAACAAGCAGAAGAGAAATTCGTTCAACCTTCAGCACCAGTTGTTGAACCGACACCAGTACCAGCAGCAGCACCAGCGGTGGCTAAACCAGTTCCTGTTCCAGTGGAACCGGTAAAAGAACAGCCAGCCCCTGTGCCTGAAGCTAAAAAGGAGGCACCAGCTCCAAGTGCACCGGCACCAACTGCCCCCACTACGACTGCTCCTACTCCAGTAGTTACGAAACAATCCTCGGCACCCAAGCCAACAACATCGAAGACGACACAACAACAGCAGCCAAGTATTGTATCGGTTGAGGATATTTTCTATAAATATGGTTTGGGTAAGTACGAAAAATTGTTTGAATATTATGTTTTTGTTTTCAATTGTGTCAAGTTTTGAGTGATGAGAAGTGGAGAAATCCAAGCCGAGAAGGAAATTCTTAGGGGTCAAATGCTAAAAATCATAAAAAAGGAATGATAAGAATGGGAGATTAATGGGGAAAAATCAGTTTCATTGTCCCCTCTAACCACAAATCCTTGTAAATGATTTACCGAGGAAAATGTTAGATTCTTTGTCCTCTCCCAAACCCCCTGTACATTTCTATGCGTGGGAATCATTTATTTATTTTTTTTGTATTATTCGGTCACCCTCAAATGTGCCTCATTTAAATCAATTGTGAAACGCAGATATGTTTCAAAATAATGTTAAAAAGTGGGTCCACGATTTGATTTCATGTTTGTGGATAAGGTATACGATTCCCTCATATGTCGGATGTTTTTTTCGACTTAATCTTAACACTCATTTGGAACCAAAATGGTCCTGTTTAATATTTTTAACAATTTTTTTACCATATTTGAAGATATACAACAACGTCTTCTTATTCTGATATATTTTTCACAAAAGGGCTACTATTTTGGAATAACACAGATCTCGTAGAAACGATTTTGTACAAACTTTATATCGATCAAATTTCCATTGAAGATGGACAATAGGAAACCCACTCTTAAACTGTAAACGTAAACATTTTCACAATACAAATCTGCAGATCTTTGAATTTTCTGATCCTGTTTCAGCATGTGCTCTACGAATCCCTCTAGATCTTCCTAACTTTGATTTGTAGATTTCTGGAAAATGGGATCAACTAAAATATATAATTTTTTTTGTGCGTTTCATGGAAAATTATCTAGTAACACCTTAAAGCGTGTAGACATTTTGGAACCTTCCCACGCACAATTATTAAAGAATGCCTCATAAATCCTTCCCGGCATACGATTTCTCATTCTCTCACTTCAAAACCCATTAATTGTTTTTTTTTTTTTTTTTTGTTATTATAATGTTAAATACTTTTTACAGCTTTGTTCTTATCAAATGTTTATTTATTCTCATTTTGTGATAAATACGTTTATTTTTATTCATTTGCATCTCGTTTTTGTATGCGTTAAGATTTTTTCTATATACATGGTTGGAACAAAAGTATTATTTTTGTTTTGTTTAATTAGCATTGTGTTTTTACGTCTTAAACCATCGTCTCCCCACAATTCAATCTACAAGTTAGCAAAATAATTCAATCTAAAAGTGTAAACTTAAACTTAATGTAAATGGGGAAAAAAGTATTGCACTCTGATTTTCCCATAGCCTTTGTTTAAGATTTTCATGTGGACTTTTGAAATTATTGTTCGTTTTGTCTGAAACCAAGTCTTTCTTAGTCTGGTTATTAAGTTGCTACTCTGATCGTGGTTTAATGTATAAACTTATTGGTTGTTTTCATTAATTTGTTGCGTGCTTACCATTAGTATTTTCCCCTCTTTTTTACTTATACATTTTATATAAGTAGAGTGAAATGGTTTTTGTTATTATCGTTGTGAATCATATTTTCCATATGAGTGTAGTTGTGTTGCCGCGCCGGTTGGACTGACTGCTTGCCAGCCGACATTATGACTTTGGTATGTTTGTGAATAATGATGTCATACAATCAGCCGGCAAGCAATCCGCCAACCAAACCAGACCAAAAAAGAAACATTTTGTCTTATGCCAACACTCTTTTTTTATTTTTACAAAATGTCATGTCTTGTTTTATTCTATTGTTATTTTTTTTGTATTTCTTAACAGGGGAGGAGGGTGTTGGGTCACTTGCCTGCCTCCCTGTGCCAGTGTAGGTACTAGATGCATTTAAATAACAAATCCACCACCCGGTCTTTAGTTTTTCGGAACACTAATTAAAGACCCGCAGACAAGGTTCTTTTATTTGTCTATAAAAATGCCGGTTTTACTTTATAACTTGATTTTTGTGGAACTCGCATTTGTCATAGATGCCATTGTTGCTGTCGTGGTTCTATCATTATTATTGCCATGAGTCATGGTTTATTGTATTCTCTCATCATGTATACAACTACAACAACAACTAGACAGTGATTTAGTTTATTTCTTCTATTTTTAGTTAACTTATTTCATTATTGATCTCGAAATACACATAATGACATCGAAAAGGGTTTCCCATAAATAGATCTAAGCATTAAGTGGATTGCTTTCTAAACGGAAACTATTTTGACCTCCCCTGACCTTTCGTTGGAAATCTAAATATATTTCACTTCTTTCTCTGTGTGGATGGATTGTTAGTTGGTTGGTTCCACACTAATTGTTTTCATAACTCCATGTCATTGACACTGTCTGTGTACCAAATTACTCATCGCTTTGAACTGGGTATTATATTTGCTGTGTTTGGTAAAATGTTGGAAATAATCGTATTTTTTGTCACATCACTTGCCTTTATTCTACGCAATAGCATTATTTTTTCTCTGTTACCTTCCGGTTTTATCACCAATAATAAATTACACGTGTAACGATTTGTCTCATATATCCACGAAAGTTTGTGTGGCAATAAAAAATAATTGTAAAAGTTTTGTTCTTTTGAATTGTATTGTTTTTGTTGTATTCTGTCCAGGCTCTAAATTCACGTTTGGGGCAAGGTTAACCCAAAAGTATGGCGGCATAAGCTAAGTTATTCACTTTTGACATAAGACGTAGCAAAAATTGTTGGAATAGCGTTACAGACTCAATTGTTTAAAATCTGTTCAAAATGTGTATAAAAGGCCCCAAAATGGTTTGAATCAAAATATTAAACAATAAATCCATCCCATCCTAATATTTTCAATGTAGATAACCTTTTTTCGTATACCCCACACATAAAGGTACCTCCTATTTGGTATTTCGAAAGCTTTTGTCCCAATTTCCAACTTAATAATTTGCAATTTGATATTTTGGGTTCTCTGGGTAGATTAACTTCTCATAAAATACATTTTTGGTATAGTCCCCTAACTAAGTCAGGCCTCAATTTCAGTCAGGTGTACTTTGTATACCCTCCATCATTCATAGTATGGAGGGTATATTAACTTCTTCATTCCGTTTGTAACTCATCGAAATACTAATTTTAGAACCAGCAAAGTATATATATTCTTTATCAGCGTAAAATTCTAAGACGAGTTAGCCCTGTCCTTCCTCTGTTGTAATCACGCTACAGATAAAACGAATTAAGATAGGAAGCTAAAATTTTGCACAGATCTGTCGTATAGCCCCCATATAACGATACCTCCGATATTCGGAATTTTTATGATTGTAGCCACATTTTCAATGGAATTGTCTGAAATTTTACACAAAGAGTTCTTTATGAGTAATTTACCCTCTGAAAGAGAATTGTCTATATAAGTCCACGATATCGTATATCCCCATGCAACGGTACCCCCGATATTCCGTATTTTGATGATTTTAGCCACATTTTTTCGGTGACCCTCAAATTTTAGCCACATTTTTCAACGGAATTATGTGAAAATTCACACAAGGAGTTCCGTGTGAGTACTTTATCCGCCCACACAACGGTACCCCCCGTTTTTGGGTGTTTTGATGATTTTAGAAACCTTTTTAATGGAATTGTCTGAAATTGTACACAAGGAGTTCTCAATAAGCACTTTACCCCGGTATTTTTAAGGTGTCCCCTCCAATTCCCAACCAAATCAGCAGCTATTTGACATTTCGGTTTTTAATTCGGGACGCATCAAAAAATCATCAATATAACGATAGCCAGTCCCTATAACTGATTCTTGAATAAACCTTTAAAGTTTGTGAGACATACACAGAATGTGTCCCTTCCTAATTTGTTTTTATTACTGTGGGAGGTCCAAAGTTGCCAGATGTATTTCTAGGCCGCAAAGAGTGGACATACATTTTTTAGAGAAGAGGTACCCAGGTTTAAAAATTTAGCTACTTTCGCGGATGTAACCAAAGATCTTCTGCAGTGAGTAGGGCAGAGCAATTAAAGATGTGTAGCGTATTGTGTGTGCCTGTATCACACCGAGCACACAGCCTCAGTATGAATGCCACATAGACCAGCCTGATGGGCTTTTTGACGAAGAGGCTCTCTTGTAGTCTTGCAATTCCCTTTTTAGATCATGTATATCCTTCCTGACACGCCGGTGAAGTTTTGTCCGCCATAAACATGAAGGGCCGTTTGCCATCTGGGCCAGACATTTTTGGAAGAGAAGTTTGTGACCAACTTGGAAGACCAAGCGCTGTCCATTCTAAACATGTAGTTCCGTTTGTCATCTAGGCAAAACATGTTTGGGAGAGAATTTTGTCACTAACTCGGAAGACCAAGCGTTCAGCGTTGTTCAGGCTAGTTTGTCACCTGCTCAGGAACATAGTCGACCACCCAACTTTGGGTCTGTAGGGTAGGGTAGATTGTAACGCACCGAGAAGCATATCATGTATTTTAAATATCATCATATCATGTGTTTTAAAACCGTTTCCAATCGTTTTTAAATTCATTTTTAAAAACGTGCTAGAACAATGAATGAATTTATTTATAAAGGAGAACTCGCACAAAATCGCAAGACAAAGAACAACACCCAATAGCTTTCTATTTAAAAAGAACGTAGCCCTTTTACCTTGCACCCGAAAAATAAAACAACAGTGAAAGAAGAAAATAGTTTTCAGTCTGAGTGTGCAGCACAAATATAACATTGCGTGTAGGGTATTGCCATTGTTCTCCATTCTTAACGCCCCAGATATGATTGCCTTAAGAGTTTTATTGTTTTTTTTTCTTCACCATTTCTTTTTTTCCTCCTTATTGTCATTGACATAAATTTCTTTATGTCTCCATTCATTTGGTGCGGTATGTCATTTCACATTGCTGCAGCTCTAGAGCGACACTGCTACAGCATTTCACTGTCGCCGCCGCTGCCGCCACTGTGAGATAGCATAAGAAATATACGGCTAGAGAAGAAGAAATGGACAACTTTTCTTGCCTTCATTATTGACAGCGATGACGACGACATGACATCGTTTTTG